CATGTGCGTATGTAAACAAAGACACTGCGCACGCGCGTTTTACCCAGATTCTATCGCCATATTTCATTTTGCTATCGTTGCCCAACATTACACCGGTGTTACCGTGAACGCTACGATATGGCCCAGCACTGGTAGTAGCACATGGTGGTGTTGTACACAGGAATGCAGTGTGCTGTTTGATTGACAGGTGGCTCGTAAACTGGTGATGGTGGAAGGAGAGCTGGAGCGAGCTGAAGAACGAGCGGAGCAGGCCGAGAGGTTCTACACGCACACACACACGCACACACACCTCTTTCAGAGCCACTTCATTAGGAACACCTCGGGGACCACACAGGTGAGTTTCGAGCGGGTAGGTGTTCCTAATGAAGTGGACATACCTGCTCTGTAACAGCATGAAGCTGCTTTGACACACCTGGTAACTTTGACATCACATTGATGTGATGCCACACTGCTTCTGTAACAGCTCCGCCTCTTTCTCCCTGTCTGTTTCTACGGCAACTGTCTGCATGCCCTGCTACCTGCCTCCACCTGTCTCACAGTAAGGTTCGGAGGTTGGAGGAGCAGCTGAGGAGCTTCGATCACTCGCTGAAGAGTCTGCAGGCGTCCGAGGATAAGGTACTGAGGGTCACGTGACCTGGACCTGCTGTCCGAGTGAAGCTCCTCCTCCTGACCTCCCACTGCCTCCATGATCTCTGACCTTTATCTGCTGCTTCAACTCCTCCTCCTCACCCTCCTCCTCTTGTTGCTCTGCATGAATCTACCTGCAGGCTCAATGACACCTGACAGCGCGCGCACACACACCTGATGACACACACACAAACTCGTAGGGTGCTCAGGTGGTGTCGGGTTGATTAAAATCCTTCTAGAAGCAGTTCTCGACACTCAGCATCCTTGATAACAGGAAGTCAAGCAGCAGGTGAGGTAGAAATGTAAATCAATGGCTTTGTTGGCATCCTCATGACTTGAAAACAAAGGGGCGGAGCCTACAGGATCACATTTTTGGTGTTCCACCTTGCACCTGCACCTGTCTGCCTGGCGACAGAATACATCATCAGTTCCGTACCTGGCAATCTCTCAGAGCAGCACCTGTGCAGGTGTGCTGAGGCGGGAACATTAAAGATGGACAGTCAGGCTCATAACATTTCCAGGTTCTGCTGAGTGCATCCTGCTTTAGTCGGAAGGTAGTTGATACCTGACACCACCTGAGCCTACCTGCCCACATGCCTGTCTGACACACTGTGTCCTCTGATGTGACCTTTGACCTGCAGCAAGACCCGGGTGTTGGAGGAGGAGCTGAAAACTGTGTTCACAAGTGCAAAGTCTCTGGAGGCCCAAGCCGACAAGGTAGGAGGAGGGGGTGGGGCTTCATGGCACAGGTAAATCTGCCGGGGAACGGAGCCGGTGCGGTCTCTGGAACCAGAAACGGTTCAGCCTCACACCTGTGTGCTCACCTGTGTGTACCTGCTCTCTGATTGGCTGCTGTCTCTGTGTGTCAGTACTCTCAGAAGGAGGACAGGTATGAGGAGGAGATCAAGAGTCTGCGCAACAGACTGAAGGAGGTGAGTGTCACCTGTGACGACCTGTTGGAGAAACTCGATTTGTTTCTTCTTTTCACAATAAAAGCTGTCGGCTGCATGGAGGGAAACATCTGAATAAAGTCAGCCAATCGTCGGTTTAAGGCTAAGTGTTGATGCATTTTCAATTTTATAATTAAGGTCTGAGACTGTTTCTGAGGTCACGAATATTAAACAAGATTAATGTGACCATAAAGTGATGTTTTATTTTGAAAAAAACTAAACAAATATCTTGAAAGGGTTTAAAAAAGAAGAAAAGTATAAAACCAGGACGTACGAGCGTTTTCAGTTTGACTATTTATCCTGCACAAAACAACAAACCAGAGCGACCAATCAGGGTTCTGCAACAGACCAGCTGTTCACATTCTCCCCGTGTGTATTTCCCTTTTGTCATCCGACTTCCTGTGTTTCAGGCTGAGACCAGAGCTGAGTTTGCCGAGCGCTCGGTGGCCAAACTGGAGAAAACCATCGATGGTCTGGAAGGTGAGGCTCACGATCGATATTCATTACAGATAACAAGTGTTATTTGTCACATACAGAGTACAACATGTGTCCGAGCTGCCTGCAGACTTGGCCGCGCCATCCAGGTTTTAGCGTGGTTTTGTAGCCAGGACCCTCACTGAATACAGGGCGAACTTGCAGCTCCCGCTCCAAAGGCGTATAGTCTGACCACTACACTATCAGCTGCCCGCTGAGGTCACAAAGTAAAACTGTAAGACCTCAGAGACCAGCCTGTGATTGATGTGATTGGTCATTGACTGGTTGGCCCCTCCTCTCTGTGTTGCAGATGCTTTGACTTCTGCCAAGAACGCAAACCTGGAGCTCCAGGCGACCCTGAACCAGACCATGGAGGAGCTCAACTCCTGCTGAACCTCTGGCTCCGCCTTACCTGACGTGGATGTCAGGAAACTCTGTGGCCAAAATATTCCTCTTCCCTTTCTTCCTCTGGCCCCTCCCCTTTTCTCTGCTTGCTGGAGGTCAAAAACTAGATCCTCTGATCCTGCTATGAGAGGAGTGTGGGAGATATTTCCTCTCCAATCTGGCTCCTCCCCTCACCTTTGGCCCCTCCCCCTCTTTTCTCACATTCCTACTTTGAACTTTTTCTGCACAATTTGCTTTGCCTCCACCTCAGTCATGTTTTTGTAATAATGAGTGACTAACAGCCCCGCCCCTCGTTAACTAATGGCGTGTTTGTCTTAACGGTTTGTTCCTGCTTTAGTTCACTTTGCCACAATAAATATTGATGACTGATTGATTAAAGCCAATCTTCTGTTAGCCAATTAATTGTTTTTGTCTTCTGGGGTGTGGCTTACTGGAGTGACCAATAACAGAGGCATTCAACTGCCAAATATGGTGAACAAAGGGGCCAATCACAAGCCAGACATGCCTCCTGTTTTCTTTGACCTTAGGACAGAATCAAAGTTAAGAAAAGTGATTACCTGGAGGCAGGTGCTGTCATCACTGATGATGTCACAGTTCATTGTAATAAATCGTGAAACAGGATTTTATAAAATAAAAGTACCGTATGTAGACCCAAACAGAGTCTGTGGGTTATTGATCGATCGATTTCCTCTGAGACGGTGAGGCAGCTGTGAAGTTGTACTGCAGTACAAGTACACGTACGACTTGAGCAGACGTCCGCAGGAGAGTTTAAAAACTGACACCAGGTCAGTTTTAGGCTCAGAGTCTGAAAACCTGGTCACGTTCTGGTGACTCAAAGTGCAAACTTGGGTAAACTTTCAGGCTTGTGGAACAGGCGTGTGCTGAGAGCCAGTGCAATGGCTCCTTTCACTACACCAGCGTTGTCTTCCAGCTGCAGAGCCACGTTCATTCAACATCTGCTGGACTAAAGTAGGAACTGCAGAGTTTGGAACGAAGCCTCGGCTGTCATCTTTGTCACTGAAATCATTGGTTTAACCTGCTCAGACCAGCAGAGGGCGCTCGTACACCAGCAACAGCTGAGGGGACTACAAACTTCTAAAAACAAAAACACAGGGCCTGAACAGGTGTTAAATAAAACTTTATTGATCAGCTGGACAATAAAGTTTTGTAGTTCATTCTGCTGAAAGCATGCCGTTCTCCCTTCTTTAAAAACATGCGGCCACCTGCAGCAGCTGCTCTGAAACACCTGAGCTGCAGGTTAGGTCAACCTGTTAGTTCTGTGGGCGGGACCACCTGATCAGTCACTGATGATGTTGAAGCTGCTTCCTCAGCGAGCTGCAAGATTGGACGCAGCTGCTCGTCCAACGAGGGGGCGTCGGCTTCATTAATTACAATCCAATCAAATTCAACTCCGTTGTCCAGACCGCACTCCGACTCTGCATCATCGACACCTGAGAGACCGAGATGGGCAGACAGGTGAGACGGAAAAAGGTGAGAGAAACAAACGGTTAGTGGGAGGATTCAGTCTCACCTGCAGTGAAGCTCCACCCCCTCTGTGACCTGGTCTTCTCTGAACTTTGAACTCTGACACTTTGAGTCTGTTGAGGAAACTCTGCCTGGAACCACTGCAGGTCCGAGAGCCGCCGCGCGTCGCTCACCAACTGACCAATCACAGAGCACAGCTCAGCTGTCTGAAGGATGACATCACAGCAACGTGATCCACGCTCACCTACCCACACTGGTTGGCAGGCTCCTCTGCTCGCCAGGCGACAGAAGAAGCCGGGGTCCTGGCGGCGGCGACATTCTCCCCAGCGAATCATGTCAGCTCGATACTGCTCCTTATAAGGTCCAGGACCCATCAACTGGTCCAGGTCCAGACCGTGTTCCTGCAGAACCAGAACCAGGGTGAGAACCAGAACCAGCCTTCTTGGTATAGTGTCTGTTTATCAGCTTCAGGTACAGTAGCAAACTGGCAGGTATGACGAGGTGTGACCCCGAATGGCTGTTTCACCTGGACACCTCACACATGTCTGAGTACGAATATAAACTGCTGCTGGAGGATGTGGTCCACGAGGTGGTTCCCAGGAACCTTCTGGAGATCAAACCTGCTGCCCTACTCGCACATCCTCCATCATCAGCCTGAGCAAACCTGAAGGAGCTCCGAGACCTGGACGGTCACCCACCTTAATCCAGGAGAACCAGTTGGCCTCATGACCTCCAGGTAAAGTGCGGAGAGTTGTGTGAAGGTGCATCTGGAGCAGGTGAGACTCACCTGAGCATACTGCTCCTTTAGGGGTCCAGACAGGCGCAGGATGCAGCAGACGTCAGAGCCCAACCTGCAGGGTCAGCGCAGTGAGGTAAACATGTGTTTTAAACAACAAACACTCAGAAACACAAATAACAAATATTTACAACTGCACAGGTACAAGTACAAGGTTAACATTAAGAAAGGCGGATTTAAAAATTGGATCGTGATATAATAATGATGATGATGATGATGATGATGGCGGTGGGTTATCTTATACAAAAAGTGCAGTTTGTTGTTCTCTGGTTTTAGCTGTAGTGGAGCTGAAACTGGGTCCGAAATCTGCTGTGAAAATTTGTCTCTTGTTGCTGAATTTTCCATAAATTACGAAATATTCCAGGTGTGTTTACCTCTTCTGGATCTGCTCCGTCACGTAATCTTTTCCGGACTTCCTCTTCCCGCTGAAGACCAGAACCAGGCCGGGCTCGGAGACCCGGTCCTCCATTGCTGATCAAGCCTCTCATTCAGCTCCGCGCGCATCGATCAGCTTCTGTTTATCAGTTCAGATTTCCGGTCGGACCATGACGGACCGGAACCGTAACTGGCCCAGTAGACAGGAAGGAACAAAACCAAAGTCCTCCGCGAGCGCAGGTCATCAGTCATCGAAGCTTCATCAGATCAGTTATCAATACCAAACCGACTGGCCATCGATCTGCGACGCGTCAAGCTGTTTGTGGACAAAACGGAGCTCCGTTTGCGTAACGCAATAGCGATATTACGGTAACACGTGATCGTCGTCAGACGTGGACTGAACCACTGTGCAGGGAGGAGGGGGCGTCTCTGTTTCGTCACTGCTAACGTAAAGAAAGAGTGAGGCTAAAAAACAAACTTTGAAAATTAAAATTTAAAAACAGATTAGAGGTGATTTTAGCTAAAAACTGGAAACTTTATATTAAAAAACAAAACAAAACCAGGCGATCAATGATAGTCGTCATGATCAAGAACCAAGTCTAATACAACCTTTAACTCAGAAATGGAACAAATGCTAATCCAGGTCAGTCCCGAGTGATTCCCGAGCATTAACCGGACTGGGAGCTTTTCCGTTTCGTCGTTCCCGCCGCTCCTGCTTTACTTGGTACGAGCCGTTATGACGCCTTCGTGAGCCGACGAAGATGGCGGCGCGTGTCGTGGGGAGAGCAGGAAGGCTCGCGGCAGTCGTAAGGAGCTCCGCTGTGCGCGTGAGGGAAACTTTAATTATGCAGCGCTTTGTTGATGCCCTCACTCGGGCGTCTGTGACGTCAGAACGCGGACTGTTTGAGCGATGATGGAGTAAATACGTTTTTTAGGGTGTTGACCTCTCACCCAGCTATCGCATGTCCACCTGAGGCGCATGCGTCAGCGCACAGGCAGCTGAGTGGTTGATTAGAAGTTCCCATGAATTCAGCCAGATGTGAGCAGATGTTTGCTGAGCTGTCCTGGCTGATTTCATCCTCTACGCTGACAGTGTATATGTCAGGGATGTATTAGATTATAAGGCAAATATTTTATATTTCTCACTAATTTCTCAGTTACTGTGCTGAAGTGCGGGGGAATACATGCGAGTAATATAAAACCTTTATACTTGTTACAGAAGAAAGTGGTACGAATGGTTCATAATGTTAAATACAGAGAACATACAAATAATCTGTTTATAAAATCGAATTTGTTGAAATTATAAGATTTAGTGAAATTACAAACATTATTAATCATGTTCAAGGCAAAAAATAAGACATTACCTCTGAAGTTACAAAGTTTATTTGTATTGTGTTCAGGAAGTGGAACTTTTATTTGAGGCATCAGTTTGCTAGGACCTCACAAAGGCAAACCGTTTTAAAACGTGTTACACACTTAAAACGATAACTCAATATGAAGAACAAGAACGTAATCTGGGCTAAATGTGGAAGGAAGAGTTCTTCTGGGCCATCAAGTAAAATCAGAGAGACTTTATTTGTCCCCAAGGGGGCAATAAACATACAACAGAGCAGCATGACGTTGAAGATAAGGACAGGGCATAAACAGGTAATAAGAGTGAGATAATAAATACACAGAATATACACAGTTTTAAAATTCTACAGTTTTAAAATGAAAGTGACTGAAAGGTGAATAAATAACTGTAAGTGACTAAAAGTGAATGAAGTGTCGGTACTATAAGAAGAGTTTATGTTTCTGGTGTGGGGAATGGTCTTATCAGCTGGAGTTAAAAAGCCACGTGGCTTTGGGGACAAAGGTGGCGCTCCTCCTCTCAGCGGAGGCGCCGCCCAGAGGGGAGCCATTGAAATGCGGGGTGAATAATGTGAGAGGGGTCAGTGATGATTTTGGCTGCCTGTCTAAGGACCTGTTGGCTGAAAACCGGTGCAAGAGTAGTATTTTTGTAGTATTTTATATTAGTAGAATTGTATATTGTTGATTATATTCATTTGTTGTTTTGTTTTGCGTTGTTAAATATAGATAAATGTTAGAGTGCGCCCACTTGTTGATTGGAATTCAGATAGGAGGCAGGAGCTTATAACAATTTATTCTTCTTCCTTTTCACCCATGGGTGCGTGCTATATTAATATGAATGAGGACTTGTGTGAAGGAAATCAAATACTACATGTGTGAAGCAAATTAAAAAAATGAAATGAAAATGCATTAGTTGTGCCGCTTCTTAATGACGGTGTCTTAGCTAACAACCCCAACTACCAGGTTCAACTTGTAATTGGCTAAAAATAACTTTGCCTACCGGTGAGAGGGACGTTGCTAGCTGGCAGTTTTTCTTCAAGTGATGTTGAAATTTCCACATTCTGACACTTCCAACTGGGAAGTGTCAGAATGTGGGATAGGACAGGGAGAAAGAACCAGAGGGGAGAAGAGACGGTGAGAAAGGGGGAGGAAGGAAAAACAAACAAAACACCTGGATCACCTGTATGGAGAAAAAACAACAGAAGAGAAAACAAACAAAAAAACAGCAACATAATAAAAACAGCACCATCACAATAAACTAGCTAGCAGTAGATAACAGTAGATAACAGTAGATACTGAATGTTAAACGCTATTGTGCAGCACACAAGATAGACAGCGCACAGTGTGCTGATCCACACAGGTGTGCACACCTGTGTGCACACCAATAGCAGATGTTGAAGGACCTCAGTCGCCTCAACAAATAGAGACAACTCCTTCCTGTAAAGTGCTGTGGTGTTTGTAGCCCAGTCCAGTTTATTGTCCATGTGTACTCCAAGGTATTTATAGTCCTCCACAATGTCCACACTGACCCCCTGAAACAGGGGTCAAGTGTTTCCTGGTCTTCCTGAAGTCCACGATCAGTTCCTTGGTCTTTGCCACGTTGAGCTGCAGATGATTCTGCTCACGTGACAAAGGAGTCGACCACAGCCCGGTGCTCTGTCCCATCATCCCTGCTGATGCATCCAACCACCAGGAGGAAGCTGCAGTTTCCACTCCAGCTTCCTCCTGTAATTGTCCTTCGCCTCTCTGATCTGGTCCTTCAGTAACACCTGGACCTTCCTCACCTCCTCTTCATTGCCCCCTCTGAAAGCCCTCTTCTTGTTGTTGAGGAGGGCTTTGATGTCCTTAGTCACCAGTTTATTTTTCTTATCATTGTTGTGAGGAGACCATAAATAGCATTTGGATTTTCTGTTGTTCAGTTCATTTGATGTTATGGATAAAAAGTCTTTTTTTGTTTCTAAGTAGCTGATAACTATTCGCTGACAGCTGCCACCATCTGCGAACAAATATAATCTATAAAGTTGTTCTATATAGTGAGTGACTGTTCATATAAAGCGTTAGTAAATTTATTGCTAATGCAGTCATACGGCACCCTGACTGAGGGAATTTTAGATGCACTCATCATCAGAAAGGTTGCCGACCCTGCTCTACACAACCATCATCAGCTAAAGTTCATATGAGTCTCTGCTACACTTGATGTAAGCTAACTGTGTTCTTTACTTTAAACCATCGCAGCAAACTAACCTGTTTATCCTGCTCTAACCTGCAGAGCATTTTAAATAACAGTTAGTCTGTTATTGATTTACAGCAGGTTTCACAATATGAAACAGTAACTACTGTAACCTGCACATTTCCACTTCTCCAAACGATTATTAACAGGTTTTCTTAACGTGGCGCTGATGCTCCGCAGAGCAATGAGACTGATCAGTTTCATCAGAGTAAATAACATGTGATTGGTGGTGGTTAGATGAACTTCCTGTCAGGAGATCAATGAGCCCCGACTCAGTTACACACTTATTTACTAGACTCACCTGTCAGGTACATTTGGAGAGTTCAAATTGGAAGTCTATCAATAAAGAGGCTAACTGATGCTCAATGTAATCAATCGCTCCTTTTACCGGATTGATGAAGTGATTGATCGTATGTGTTTGCAGCTCCAGTCGAGGCTCCACGGGTCAGCGGGTCTCCGCTCCGGGTCGCAGGCCAACCTTTTTCCGCCCCTTGAAGACGCCATGCTGCCCTCGGGAAGCTTCAATAACCGTGTGGCCTTAATCACAGGAGGAGGGACGGGGCTGGGGCGCGCCATGACTGCCACCCTGTCGCAGCTGGGAGCGCAGTGCATCATTGCCAGCAGGTGAGAGGTCACATGACCATAATCTGATCGTCAGCGCAGGAACTGTAGATTTGACCACGATGTTGGCAGAGATCCCGCAGAACCAGCTGGTGAAGAGAGGCCCATTAAAACGGAAACGTTACCTTTGACCTCTCCTCTCGTTATTAAGAATCATCGTCACGCTGAGGTTTACCTCCGAGTTATTTTGATAGCAGGGAAAACCCGTTTTCATACAGTAGACCAGAACTCTCAAGAGTTCTCCTCTTCAGAAACCCGACTTTATAGATGAGTCGTGCCTTTTTTTTAATCAGAGCAACATTTGGATCTCCTCTTTAAACCAAGCAGCTGTCTGAACCCTGACTCCATCTTGTGCTTCAGGAAGCTGGACGTCCTGCAGCGGACAGCTGAGGAGATCAGCAGCCAAACTGGAAACAAGGTCAGAACCAGAGTCTGGATCCAGTACAGACGCTGTAGTCTGTCCTGGTCCAAACGAGTCGTCTGTTTGTCCTCAGGTGCATGCGGTGCAGTGCGACGTCAGAGATCCTCAGGCCGTCGCTCAATGTGTCGATCAGATTGAGGCTCTGACTGGACTTCCTGATGTAAGCACACACACACCAAACACTCTTTCTGGATCTCTGAGGCCCCTCATTGGCTGACCCATACCCTAAACCTCCCATCCTGATTGGTGCAGGTAATAATCAACAATGCTGCAGGAAACTTTGTCTGTCCGTCAGAACGTCTGTCGCCAAACGCCTGGAAGACCGTCACCGACATCGTCCTGAACGGGACAGCGTTTGTCACCTTGGAGCTCGGAAAGAGGCTGATCCAGAACCGGAAAGGTAGAAAAACCTTTTCCTGTCCATCTGTTTGGCTCTTTAGGCGTAGAGTGCCGCCTCTCCGAGATTCTGTTCAGATGTCTTTGACCGTCTCGCTCGGATCATGTGTGTCACGTATGTTGCCGTCTGGTTTTTATTGTTGTTTAGGAGCATCCTTCCTTGCCATCACCACCATATATGCTGAGTCTGGTTCTGGCTTTGTGGTCCCGAGTGCTTCGGCAAAGGCCGGAGTTGAGGCGCTCTACAAGTAGGTTAAATTCCATTTTGATTTCGGAGGTCGCTCTATAAGGTTAGATGACCGTGAACGTGTCACAGCATCACCTGTGGTTAGCATTATTAGTGTTGTGGCTGTGTCTCAGGTCTCTGGCAGCAGAATGGGGGCGCTATGGCCACAGATTCAACATCATCCAGCCTGGACCAATCAGAACAAAGGTGCCACCCACGTGACTGTAGCGGCTGGTGTTTGTTATCTTCAGTTTGTTGTTGTTGTTTATGTTTTTTGGCTTGTTTGGGGGGTTTCAGGGGGCCTTCAGCCGCTTGGACCCAACCGGCGCCTTCGAGAAGTCCATGATCGACCGCATCCCAACGGGCCGACTCGGCACACCAGCTGAGATCGCAAACCTGGCGGCTTATGTGAGCAGCAACTATGCCTCCTGGATGTCTGGAGCTGTGAGTTTAAAATGACCTGGGGTCAAAGGTCAAACAGTTGTAGGCTTGGATGGTTCATGAGGTGCATTTGCGAGGCGCCACTAATTGGTCAGCTTGAACTTCCTGCTGAATGTAACAGGAACGTTTGTTTCCAGGTGATTCGGTTTGATGG